GCTGGGGATTTCCCTTTGATGGCCACTGGGGAGATGGAACACCCTGGAAATGGATGATCATTGCACGACTGGGCTTGAGCTAGCATGGATGGATGTGCTACAACCCGAGAGTCACAAGCCTAGAGCCAGCGGCCCTGGACAGATTGAGTCAGGATGAGGTTCCAGAGTCAAGACAGTATGAGTTCAAATACTGACTGTGTGACTTACCAGCTGTGTGACTTTTGCTAATAACCTTACCCTTCTGTCCCTTACTTTTCTCATCTGTAAAATGGGACCATAATTCTATATGCTGAGGTGAGAGGTAGGGTAAATGAGGCTTTATATACTTCTTATGTAGCAAATACACAAGCAACATGAATCTAGGAAGCTGCCTTTGGGGTAACAGTGTAGGCATTGTGACTCCAGGGCTTCCCTGAGTCATTCTGCCATATTCACACTGGCAGTTTTGTGACATTTATTCAGGTAAATGAGTAGATGTTTTACTATATGTTCTTCACAGTCTAGGAAATGGAAGATGACTATTCCTTATTGAGCAGCTTCAGAGGCTTGGGGAGAATGGTTCTGGGAATCAGCCAGAGCACATCTTTGCCTTCAGGACAATAGGTTCATGGTCTGTGGTAAACTACAGCCAGAGATGAAGGAACAGGAGCTGATTTGTAAATGCATTGGCTGAAATGCAGACACACATTATGAAGGAAAGAGAAAACATGCTCTGAACCCAAGGGAAAGAATGAGGATTTGTCCTTCCTTTTGGTTTGTCCCAGACTACTGGGTATATGTTTCCGGTGTCCACGTTATATCAGCAAGTAATTAAATCACACAAGCCAAAGTTGATTTCATGTGATTCTGAAACCTATTGAAGTCATGCTGTGGCAGGAAAGGGGCTGGTTTCCTTCTTTCCTGATTCTTTTTACCTATCATTGTGTAGTGGGCTCCGTATGTTGTTGGAATTGTGAAAATGTGATTCCCACCCACAAGAAGTTCAAGCTTGATACGTATGTCTGTATGATGCCCCTCCCAACCATCTTCAGGAAAAGTGAATTTGTCTCATGCTTCAGGGGAATTGGGATCTGCTCTGGTATAATGAGGGGAGTGGGCTGGGGGCAACAACCTGGCTCAGCTCCCCCTGCACAGCCTGCTCTGCCCTGTGGCTGCAGCATTTAGCTGGAGCTGCTAAGTGCTGTAAAGCTCCTTGAGTAGCAAGATGGGCCATGCTGGTCAGGTCTCTGTGGAAAAAGCAGAAATAAATCACACACCAGCTCCTACTTAAGATCTGATGAAATTCTCCATTTCCGCTCTAAATTGAATTCCTCCCGAAGGATTGGAGCAGCTCCTGGGAGTAATGAAGGCGCTCCTTCCTCCTCTGCTTGAAGCATGTTTCGAATTAGCGGACACAACATTCTAATCTGGGTGGGTAGGTAGCATTAGGGAACAGTCTTGAGAAACTGTTTTCAGAACAGACATGATATTTGTAATCTCAAGGGGCAGGCGGCAGTCATCCAATACCTCAGTCCTCTGTTGAGGGAGCAGCCTCCACCACGCTGGTGGTCTCCTGGGGGAGGATAACTCGTGGCCTTCTGTGACTCTGCACCCCCACCCCATCACCTCCCCTTGCACCAGAAGATGGGGGCAGGATAGGAGCAAGAGGGCTTGTGCTTCTTGAGATTAAAAATGCTACTTTTCTGCCCATTTCATAGTTGGGAAAAATGATAAACTCAGAGAGAAAGAGATTGAGATTTCTCTTAGGTTGAAGATATTATTGAAGAGGTTGTCTCGCATCCTCTGGAGTGACAATAGCAGATTGACGGTTTGGCATTCATCGACTCTCCCATGGGGAAAACTGAAATGCACTTCCCAGTGGGCCTTGTCAAAGTGAAGACTGATCATCAGCTGCTGACTGGGCAAGAATAAGACTCTGGAAACGCAGGAAGGCGAGGGGTGCCTGGGAGTGAGCCTTACACTTCACAGTTAAGGTCAGGGTAGAAAATTCTAAAAGTTCCTTCTGTTGTGGAAGTGGCCATGAGGTAGTCTATCTGTTGGTAAAAGAATATTTACTATTTGGGCTGGCCAAAAGCTCAGCAGACTAAAGTACCTGCTTAGGCAGAGTGCGGAGGCTGGGGTTCAATCCCTGGCAAGCCGTGCTGGCCTTGGGCGTGCTGAGACCGTGATTGAAACAGCAGGGCGATCGAGTTGGGTGTGGTGGTGCACGCCTGTAATCCCCACTCTTGGGAAGCTGAACACAGGCAGATCACTGTCTGTAGACCCTTACTAAAATACAAAAAAAAAAAAGAATACTTACTATTATTTCTTAAAGTGATCTTAAGAACATTATTATAGTTTTTCTTGCTGTTGAAGAAAAATAGTTTACTTTTGTTGTTGTTATATTTTTTGAGACAAGGTCTCTTTATGTAATCTAGGCCAGCTTTGAATTCACTATGTATCCCAATCTCAAAGTCCAGATCATCCTGCCTTAGCCTCCCAAATGTTGCTGGGACTATGGGCACCTGCCACCATGCCTGGCTAAAGAAAAAGTACTTTGGGGAAAAAAAAAAAAAAAAAAAAAGGAACTTCTTGAAAGAATATTCTATTGATCCTTTATGTCAGGATTTTAACACTCTTGAGAAAGGTTGTTAGAACCTCACTCCATGTTTTTAATTTCATTGTAAGCAAGAAGCCATTTCTTTCATAGGGAAAGAGCCCCCCAGGACACAGGTAAGACCCAGCATTGGAGGAGGAAATAGGCTGCTAGGGACATGAGGGTTGGCGTTCCAAATAGAAACTAGCTTGTCAGGGAGAAGTCATTTTCTGCCGATAGTGAGCTTCATTTATATCAAGTTAAATGCCCTTCCTTCATATTTCAGAGGATGTTAAACTTCAGTCTTCCTCAAAGGGCAGTAGGAAATATGATTATCCCTGGCTCAAAAGCAAGGATTGAGTGCGGGAAGTGAGAATTTAGGTTGAATTCCAGCAATGCCAGGACCTGTCCTGAGCCCACTCCAGGGGCGCCGGGTGGACGTAGTGACTCCACTGTGGAATGGTGGGGAGGGAAGTCTGGAAGAGACAGTAACAACTGCTCAGAAGGAAAAAATGAAGGGGCAGGAAGGTGAAACGCCCCCCCACCCCCACAGGGTGGCTTTTGTGCATTCCTTCAGACGTCCCTGCTTGTGTTAATGGACCTGGGCTAGGTGGCCAGGCTGGCACTGAGCAGCAGGCAGGTCACCCCAGGCAGCAGAAGCTTCACAGTCATCCTCTGGTAGAAGCGGCCGGCCTGAACCAGTCTCCACGCCTGCGAGTGCATGCACAGCTGCCAGGCTCTGGCTGGTGGATCCTTTCCGAGCAGACTCATCTCTGAGTCTGTTTATAAGGATTGAAGTTACTTCTGTTTTGTTTTAGTGGAAAGGGTGAACTGCTGCCAGCAGTATGTCTGGAATGTTATTAACTCGGTACATTTCTGTGGCTTTTCTTGTAGCTCTGCACATGCCAGAGCCAGGGGTCACTTACTTGAAAATGCCAGGTTGCACTGTGTGTCTTCTCCATTGGGCCACTTGCTCAGTAAAAGGGAGCTACCCTTGTGCCTCCCAGTTTTTTGTTCCCTCCCTCCTTCTCTGCCTCCCTTTCCTTCCCTCCCAGTTTCTTCATTCCTTTTTCCTCCATTTTTATTTATTTATTTTTCTGAGTTGTGATTGGAAATACTGTTGGTGTCTACTGTGTCATACCCTTTGTCCCGAATGTACCAACAGTCCCTGTAATTTCTGGGGCTCCTCGTGGACTCTTCAGAGGGCCTGGCAGATGCCTTGTCATTGGCGTGCCTGGCCTGTTGTTATTCTTTCACATGAAAGCTGTCTGTTTTGGCAGACGTGGCTCCCACAATTGCAGTTGAGTGCTCTGAGCTGAATGGGTAATGTTGTGCAAGAGAAACATAGGTGGGGTTTTCTCTAATGGTAGCTGTGGGGGCGGACGAAAAATCTGCAAGCAGTCTTGGCTTGTGTAGAGCTGACATGATGGCAAACAAATGGCTTTTGAAAGAAGGAACAACCAGTGTGTACAGTTTCTTAATATGGAAGGTTTCACAACTGGTTTTGTTCAGTGGATGGAGGAGAGATTTTTAAAGAGCAAATTCTTCATTGGGAAGACCGTCAACAAGTCCTGGATCAACGACAAAAGCTGAAGGTGGAAGCAGAGGAGGAGTTCTGTTTGTCTCTTCTTCCTTCAGCCCCCATTCCTCCCATGTCATCTCTGCAATTTTAATCATGGTATTTGGGGCTTTAAAAAGAGGGATGGAAAATAAGATTAGATAAATCTTCCCATATGTTGCCAGCCCCCGGGGCCGTGTGCACACCTGGGTGGGCTAACTCCCCTTCTCCCTTGGCACGATTTTGTTTTGTCATGTGAATCAGTAAGCATCTACAGATTCCACTGAAAACCTTTGTTTTCCAGACCCTTGGCTTTATCTGGGTCTCCTGGAAGTCTTTCCACCCCTTGGCACCTGTTAGATTGTTAACTCACAACCAGCCCCAGTGTGAAATGGAAAATTCTTGCTTCCATTCTTCTTGGCTTTTCCTGTCTTTCTGCATGATTTCTCAGTTTGTTTGTGAGCTGCTCGGGTTTTGGCTGAAGGGTCTTCTTTGATCACTCTCTTGACAGCCCGGACTTCTCATTCTCACACCTGCTTTTCTTTTACAGTCTAGATTTCAGAGTAAATACTTCCATTGCCTTGTAATTTTTTCAGTATAAAACTTTGGTGCAGGTTACTTATTACGGGTAATAGCCACTTGATGACGGAGACAATTGCTGGCAGAAACGGCAGCCTGAACTGCTGCCAGAAACATAAACTGCCACTTTATTTAGGTCTAAAAGCATCTCAGCCACAAGTCTATCAGTCATGATCTGGCATGCACATGATAATAATAGGCTCGCCAGGCTAAGAAAGCCGCCCCATGGGGCAGCCACAAAGACAGGCTCTAACAGGACTCTGATATTTTCTCTTCCATTATCTACAGCCCACACATCATCTTCCTCTCCCAGAGTACCTTGACAGGCAGGAGCCATCTCTGCGGGAGCCGGCTGTGCCATGAAATTGCTCATGCCTGGTTTGGCCTGGCCATCGGTGCCCGAGACTGGACGGAGGAGTGGCTCAGTGAAGGGTTCGCCACTCACCTGGAAGATGTGTTTTGGGCTGAAGTGCAGCAGGTGCGTTTAACATGACCCTACAGATTCCCTCCCCAGAGTCAAGTTGTACTCAAATCCTTCATGTATTCAACAGACACATTCTGTATTCTCCCCTCCCCAACTGTTTTTGCTGGGAAAATGGCTGTCCAACCAGAGAGTTAAGTAAGCCTCTTTCCCTTTCAGTTCACAATCTAGAGATAGGATAGAGAACAGATATAGAAATGAAGTGGTAACATGCAGGCAGGGAAGAGTATTGTGAGTAAAAATGAGCTCAGGGGAGGGGAGAGAGTACACTTTTAAAAAGTGATCAAGGGTTGTGAATATAGCTCAGTGGCATAAGTGCTGCCTGGCAAATTCAGGGTCCTGAGTTCAATCCCTGGCACTCCCCCCTCCACACACACAAAAGAGAGATCAGATTTCACCATTTTCATTTCTAATTGTATGAATTTGAATCATTATTTCTTCTTCTTCTTCTTCTTCTTCTTCTTCTTCTTCTTCTTCTTCTTCTTCTTCTTCTTCTTCTTCTTC